ATCATTAAGACAAACTCAAAGGAGCTGGTTCAAAATGTCAAAGGCGGAATTGGTATGAGCGTGTGGTCTATTTATCTTATCATTTCTACTGTTAGAAGATGTTGTAACCAATTCAACTTCTATAATTGGTGGTGAATCCCTTGTCGGTTAAATGGAATAGTTGATTCAATTGCGGCGAATGCATAGAGGAGGATGCGCGAGGAAGTCTAGATTCGCATACCCCTATCTTCCCTGGTTTTTGTTCTGCAGGTGGATGGATTACCTTGTCCTACAAGATTGTAGGTTGTTGCCGGTTAGAGGTTGACGTGCACCCTTCGGTGGCGTCCTAATGGCTGGCCGTTTAACTGAGCTTCTTTGCTTTCTTTTTTTTCACTAGTCTGTTTGTTTTCTCTTCTCCTGGTTGTTTGGTTGAACTTGTTTTCTCTTCTCCTAGCTGTTTGTTTGAAGTACGTGTTCCTGCCTTCCCAATGGCTTCATGTATGTACTGTTTGGTTGCCTTTATCTTAATGATAATCTCTTTGCCCAAAAAAAAGGTCTATAGGTTACAATAATTAAAAATATTAAAGCGGGCTTGGTTTAACTTCCAACAAAAAGTCGTACGAAAGTCTAAATAGGGTGTATTAAGAAAAATCAGGGATATTTTTGGTAGTTAAATAAGGTGTACTAGTTAATTTTACATTTTGATTAAAATATTATGGTGTACTTAGATTATAGGGTGTACTCAGTTAATTTTAGGATTCGTCTACCAGCACTCTACTTTAATTACAAATAAAATTATCTATTGTTTTTTGTCGACCCAGTTAATCCAAAATTTTGTATGAAATTATTTTGTAAAAACCTAAGAAATATGCTCAAGCAAAAGCAAATACTTTACTTAAATATCAAAGTCACTAATAATCCATTGATCCATTGAAAACTTATATTTTGTTTCTTAAATATCAACGCCACTAATAATCGACTACTCGATTAAGATAAAAAATGTATGACTAATACCTCTTGTGGACCATGGCCAAGTCAAATGATTTTGAAGTTTGGGTTGTGGATGAATACTTGAAATCGTGCTTCTTTCAATTTGAATTATGTTTTCCCAAGAAAAAAGGGTAAATTTTACTTTACTACTCGCAAGTTTATCGAAATTTAGACTTTAATATCTAAATATATATTATTATTTTTGGTCAACTTCGTACCCAAAATTTGATTTTCCTACTACTGTGATACATTCATTAGTCTGACCATCAATTCTTCTATTAATAATTTAACATGAAAATTAATGGGTCCACGTGGCCTCACCCATATTATGCCATGTGGATTGAAAGAATATATAATTAAGGAAAAAAAAACACTCACCCGCCCATCTCTCTCTCTCTTCAACAACCGCAAACTCAACCCGCACCCCCTCATATTCTCTCTCCCTCCTTCTATCTTCCCTCCTCTCTTTCTTCAACAACCACCTCCACCTCAACCCCACAAAGACATCCACCAAACTCATCCAATCCAGTTGTAGGGGTCTTTTTATTCCAGCAGCCTGACGAATGAGCCTGGGCTGCTGTAATAAGAAGATAACAAAATTCCCCCAGTACCTGAGTTCAAGAATCAGGCTCCAAAATGAGTTTTTGAAAAGTTTGTTGAAACTTTAGAAAAACACTTTTAGGTTCTTTTCACCAATAACCAAATGAACATAGCAAATTGATGAGTGACTTGGTTTGAGGAGCTTGTGGCATGGGAGCTAAGCTTTCACAAGTTCAGCAATTTGAGAAAGAGAGAGAGAGAGAGAGAGAGAGAGAGAGAGGCATGAATTTCTTACAGAGAGCAAAGGTTTAAAATGGGGAAGATAAAAATTAGGAAGATTTCTATCTCAAGAAAACAATGGGAGGAAAGATTGGGTGTCTTGAGTAAATTTTCAGGTGCTTGACAAAGCTTGGTCACACTCTGGATGATGGTTTTGCTGGGTAGAGGAAGCTCCCTTTTATAGGCACTTAGAACCCCTAATTTTATATAACCTTCTTCTTCCTTTTCCTTTGCTTCTTCTCATTCAATCATATTTGGTGACATTTTCCTTACCAAGGCGCATGGGTAATGAGCCCTTTGGGGTTCCAAGAGTTTTATGCAGCTGGACCTCTCCATAGGGGTGAGGCGCCACCCATTTTCTTCCCTGGTTTTCCTATTGGAGCTAGCAGAGGAAAGGGAGAATGGGCAGAGCGTTTGCCCAACGAGTTTCTTTTGGTTTTTACAGTGGCTTCTCGTTGACTCTGTCATAGAGCTTTGGGCAAAGGTTGAACACGATGCTAGATATTTTATAAAGCGCTGGGCTGGGCTTTTCCTAAGGTATTGGGCTATTGGTACTCTATTTTCCAGCGGCCTGTGAGTTTGTTTTTCATCAGGCTGCTGGAAGTAGTTTATCTGCTTCGTTTTTTTTAACAAAGTGTTTGAGTGCTTTAACTAACATGGGGTTTTCTAAGCAGACCATTATATTCTTCTAAGGCATTGGATCATTTTCTCTCTCTCATGCTAGCCCATGTGCTTGGGCTAAAGAAATGAGCTTAAGTTTTAGCGTTCCCAAGCAGCCCAAAACTCTCATTCCTTGATCCCTCAATGGGCCTTGTGAGTGCTTGTACCCGTCCATACCACAACCTTCTCAGCAAGCCCCGGGTAATTACGTGGCTTGGGCCCACTTCAGCCTGTAGCATGACTTGGTATTAAAATAACAATTCTTCACATGACATTGCTTGTTTATTTAGCATGTTTGTGCTTGAATTTTATCGTGTTACTATAAGCTATGATCGGGCCGCATAACGTTGAATAGATTAGTAAGCGGGAATTTACAGAGCTGATGGCTTTTTGGCCCTTTTGCGCATGCTTGCTTGGCATGACGCGTGGCCCATGGCTTGCACAGGTGCATCCTACAAATTTTCTTATGTCCCAACTGGGCTCTTTTTGCGATCAATTATTTGTGCTAGGCTGAGAATAAACCCGGGCCCTAACCCTTGGATTTTTGGGTCTCAACACTAGTTCAGCTTCGACTTGAACTCCAACCCACAAATTTCCCAACTCCATCAAGTCCAGCTATGATGTTCTTTTACAAATCAACAACCCAAATTTCCAAAATGTACCCACTTTGAGTTTGTACGGCGTATGCCATTTAATAAATTAATCAAATACATATTCATGATTTAATTTTTTTATTTAATTTATTAATGATTTTTTTAATCCATGTGCCACAATATGGTGAGTACACATGGACCCATTAATTACCACGTCATCGTTTAACAGAAGATTTGATTGTTTAATTAACGGATGTATGAAAGTGGTAGGAAAATCAAATTTTGGGTACAAAGTTGACACGAAAAAAACTTTAGGTATTAAAGTATAACATTCGAAAAACTTGTGAGTGGTAAAGTGAAATTTACCCCCCAAAAAAAAAATCAGATAGGCTTAGTTAAGTCTTGTTACTAATTACCACTACACGTACCACCTAAAATAATTTTTTTAAATACAAGTGATAATCTAAATTAATGTAATTTATCGAGAGATGAATTTGAACCTGATGTGGGTTGAATACCAATTTGGTTCTCTGTAATTGAAAGGGTTTGGTCCTTCAAAATACCAATTGGGTCAACTTGTTGTGTGTTGACCAAAAGATTGACCTCATTGTTGACACTAAAAAAGGTTGAATAATCAAAGGAAAGCAATATAAAGCACAAATCAAAGGAGATGAGAATGCCAAACCAGAGTTCTTGAGAGCACTTTGCAGGGAGCAGTTTCTCCATTCTTGGGCTTGCTCTGCTGCTGAGCTAACCAAGATCTCCAGCTACTCAAGTCTCACAGCAGAAGATGGAGACATTAGGGTAAGGAGAAAGACGGGAACTGCTTTGTTTGTGGAAGCGGCAGTAATCAGTGGATTCATGTTAAGTTCCTCGTACCAAAACAAAAAAAAATAAAAAAATAGTTAATGATACAATCAACCAACGAATTATGACTTAATCCGCCCCCCGGGTTTATCAATTTGCAAATTCTTAGGTACATTTAATATGTATTTCTCTATTTCAATCCTTTAAATCCTCAGACTATTCAGGAAATTGAAATAATAGTATACGGACTATATTTTTAGCTATTATCAATGAAGGTAATATAATATATTTTCTAAGAATTGATTGGGTTACTAACAAAAAACCTCTTAGTACTTGAGCAAGTAAAATACTACACTAATATTAGTGTTTATTAGTGTCGACTAGAAATGGGGCGTGACCAAGTGGTAAGGCAACAGGTTTTGGTCCCGCTATTCGGAGGTTCGAATCCTTCCATCCCAGAGCATACCTGACCCATAATAATATTATCATATTATTAATATATAATAAAATATAAAATATATATCTATATCATAATAAAATATACAAAAATTAAAGATTGTCTTTTCGAACAGTCTTCCGTTTAAGGGTACAATATTGGTATAGAAGGCGTTCAATTATCAGAAAAAGAATACAATGTTGCTACAAATTTATACAATGAAATATCAAACTCTAGTCTCATCATGCACGTATGGAATTCGAGGAAAACCGCATGGGCTCATGGGCCCTCATTCTTCCTCTGCGACTTCCATCACGTCTAAATAAATAAATAAAAGCCCCATTATCCAACAAAAAAAGAAAAAGAAAACCCATTAAACTCAAGCTGGGTTTAGTTGGCAAATGAAGCCCAAGAGAAGTCCTGGTTGAAAACTGGTGACGTGTCTACATGGAGAGCACCCCCACCCAAAGCGTTGAAAGTTGAACATACGACTACTTGGTGTAGCGTGTAGTCCAGTCCAGTCCAGTAGTTGGTCGTGTAGCGAGTGAAAATTCCCCGCGAGAAAGTAACGTCGGTTATAGAATTCCAAAATTCTAAAATTCCAAAATTCCAAATGGGTGGTGGACCGGACGAGTTGATTTAATCCAACCACGGTTCAAAACCTGGGTTAGGGTTAGGCCCATCGGCTCCAGCACCAGGGGACTTGCTATATATCAAGAGAGCCGCCTTCATCGCTCCTCTCCCTTAATATAAAAAAAATATCGTCCGCTGATATCTTCTCTCGACTCTCGACTCTCACGGCTGCGTGCTTTCCCATCAGGTGCTCCTTTCCCCTTTTTCTCATCTTCAATTTTTTCTTCTATTTTGGTTTTTCGTTTTCAGGCTTATGCGATTTCTTCTCTCAATTGTTTTGGATCTGCTGATTGTTTTCTGTCGAATTTACCTGATTCTGCGAATTTGCGTTTATGTATTTCGTGTGAGAATTCATGGCTTGATTGGCAATTTCCTTTAAATTTATGCAGTCAATAGGCGTTTATTTATTTATAAGATAGTTCTTGCGGATTCACATATATGATTGTTGAGATAGTCTTGCGGATCCACACATTTGATTGCGTTTTTTTACTATTATTTTGTCTCCTGTTGAATTTGTATGTTAGCTTTGCCATATAATTGTTCTTTCTCTTTGTTTGATTTCACATACATATCCTTTTTAGCTGGATGTCCTTAATTAGTGTGGAGGGATGTGTGGTTTTGGACATGTGTATACATATCATACACATAATAGTCGTAGATGAAATCATCTGATTTGTCCCTTTCACTTTTGTTGTTGACATAAATGCTACGGCTTGTTTTGGATAAATTGTATGAAGTTTATAGGTGTGGAGGCCTTCTGATATGTTATAAAGTTACGAGTTAGATTGTATGACTCTCAGAATTACTGGTAACATGTTTATGTAGTCTGCTTTCTTTCTCCTTTTAATGTGAATTGCATGGTTCTCTATCTTCTTCTCCAAATCTATGTGAATTGCGTGTCCCTTTTTTCTTTTTTCTTTTTCTGTCTTTTTTTTTGGCTTTATTTCCTCTGGTTTCATTGTTTTCGAAACCTTTGCGCTAAATGTATGGTATCTTGCAGGCCATTAATTGTTGTTTCAGCTGTTGCTGTGATTCCTCAGAATGGCAGATGGTCATGAGACTGATAAGAACATCGAGATATGGAAGATTAAGAAACTGATCAAGGCTCTTGAAGCTGCAAGGGGTAATGGAACCAGCATGATTTCTCTCATCATGCCTCCCCGGGATCAAATCTCTCGTGTTACTAAGATGCTTGGTGATGAATTTGGAACTGCTTCAAACATCAAGAGCAGGGTGAATCGTCAGTCTGTTCTTGGTGCAATTACATCTGCTCAGCAGAGGCTCAAGCTTTACAACAAGGTTCCTCCTAATGGGCTGGTGCTGTACACGGGAACAATTGTAACTGATGATGGGAAGGAAAAAAAGGTCACAATTGATTTTGAGCCTTTCAGGCCAATCAATGCGTCTCTTTACCTCTGTGACAACAAGTTTCATATTGAAGCTCTGAATGAACTCTTAGAATCTGATGACAAATTTGGTTTCATTGTCATGGATGGTAATGGGACACTTTTTGGGACATTAAGTGGCAACACTAGGGAAGTGCTTCATAAATTTAGTGTGGACCTCCCAAAGAAACACGGAAGAGGAGGGCAGTCAGCTCTACGTTTTGCTCGTCTTCGAATGGAGAAGCGCCACAACTATGTTAGGAAGACAGCAGAGCTTGCCACACAGTTCTATATTAATCCTGCCACCAGCCAGCCCAATGTTTCAGGATTAATATTGGCTGGGTCAGCTGACTTCAAGACTGAGCTTAGTCAGTCAGATATGTTTGATCCCCGTCTGCAAGCCAAAATACTGAATGTGGTGGATGTTTCTTATGGAGGGGAGAATGGTTTCAACCAGGCTATTGAGCTGTCATCCGAGATCCTGTCCAACGTTAAGTTTATACAGGAAAAGCGCTTGATAGGCAAATACTTTGAGGAGATTAGCCAGGACACAGGAAAGTATGTTTTTGGTGTGGATGACACACTAAAAGCTCTGGAGATGGGTGCTGTTGAAATTCTTATTGTGTGGGAAAGTTTGGACATCAATAGGTATGTGCTAAAAAATACCACTACTGGTGAGATTATAGTTAAACATTTCAACAAGGACCAGGAAAACAATCAGAGCAACTTCCGGGATTCTGCCAACGCTGAATTAGAGGTTCAGGACAAGATGGCACTGTTGGAGTGGTTTGCTAATGAATACAGGCGGTTTGGTTGTACTCTTGAGTTTGTCACCAACAAATCACAGGAGGGGTCACAGTTCTGCCGTGGTTTTGGTGGCATTGGAGGAATTCTTCGCTACCAGCTTGATATGAGGTCATTCGACGAGTTTTCTGATGATGGAGAAGTTTATGATGACTCTGAATAGCAATCAATCAACTCTTCCCCAATACTGGTGCAGGAAGGTGGGGTGCGAAAAGCCTGCACCAGTGCGCTCGGAGTCGTCGTTGCTGCCGCTGCTCCTGAGCAATGCTCACGAAATTTCGCAGGCTTGATCCAGGTTTCTATTTCCTCTTTTCATCTTTTAACGTTATATTCTTTTACCACAATATTGGTATAGAAGGCGTTCAATTATCAGAAAAAGAATACAATGTTGCTACAAATTTATACAATGAAATATCAAACTCTAGTCTCATCATGCACGTATGGAATTCGAGGAAAACCGCATGGGCTCATGGGCCCTCATTCTTCCTCTGCGACTTCCATCACGTCTAAATAAATAAATAAAAGCCCCATTATCCAACAAAAAAAGAAAAAGAAAACCCATTAAACTCAAGCTGGGTTTAGTTGGCAAATGAAGCCCAAGAGAAGTCCTGGTTGAAAACTGGTGACGTGTCTACATGGAGAGCACCCCCACCCAAAGCGTTGAAAGTTGAACATACGACTACTTGGTGTAGCGTGTAGTCCAGTCCAGTCCAGTAGTTGGTCGTGTAGCGAGTGAAAATTCCCCGCGAGAAAGTAACGTCGGTTATAGAATTCCAAAATTCTAAAATTCCAAAATTCCAAATGGGTGGTGGACCGGACGAGTTGATTTAATCCAACCACGGTTCAAAACCTGGGTTAGGGTTAGGCCCATCGGCTCCAGCACCAGGGGACTTGCTATATATCAAGAGAGCCGCCTTCATCGCTCCTCTCCCTTAATATAAAAAAAATATCGTCCGCTGATATCTTCTCTCGACTCTCGACTCTCACGGCTGCGTGCTTTCCCATCAGGTGCTCCTTTCCCCTTTTTCTCATCTTCAATTTTTTCTTCTATTTTGGTTTTTCGTTTTCAGGCTTATGCGATTTCTTCTCTCAATTGTTTTGGATCTGCTGATTGTTTTCTGTCGAATTTACCTGATTCTGCGAATTTGCGTTTATGTATTTCGTGTGAGAATTCATGGCTTGATTGGCAATTTCCTTTAAATTTATGCAGTCAATAGGCGTTTATTTATTTATAAGATAGTTCTTGCGGATTCACATATATGATTGTTGAGATAGTCTTGCGGATCCACACATTTGATTGCGTTTTTTTACTATTATTTTGTCTCCTGTTGAATTTGTATGTTAGCTTTGCCATATAATTGTTCTTTCTCTTTGTTTGATTTCACATACATATCCTTTTTAGCTGGATGTCCTTAATTAGTGTGGAGGGATGTGTGGTTTTGGACATGTGTATACATATCATACACATAATAGTCGTAGATGAAATCATCTGATTTGTCCCTTTCACTTTTGTTGTTGACATAAATGCTACGGCTTGTTTTGGATAAATTGTATGAAGTTTATAGGTGTGGAGGCCTTCTGATATGTTATAAAGTTACGAGTTAGATTGTATGACTCTCAGAATTACTGGTAACATGTTTATGTAGTCTGCTTTCTTTCTCCTTTTAATGTGAATTGCATGGTTCTCTATCTTCTTCTCCAAATCTATGTGAATTGCGTGTCCCTTTTTTCTTTTTTCTTTTTCTGTCTTTTTTTTTGGCTTTATTTCCTCTGGTTTCATTGTTTTCGAAACCTTTGCGCTAAATGTATGGTATCTTGCAGGCCATTAATTGTTGTTTCAGCTGTTGCTGTGATTCCTCAGAATGGCAGATGGTCATGAGACTGATAAGAACATCGAGATATGGAAGATTAAGAAACTGATCAAGGCTCTTGAAGCTGCAAGGGGTAATGGAACCAGCATGATTTCTCTCATCATGCCTCCCCGGGATCAAATCTCTCGTGTTACTAAGATGCTTGGTGATGAATTTGGAACTGCTTCAAACATCAAGAGCAGGGTGAATCGTCAGTCTGTTCTTGGTGCAATTACATCTGCTCAGCAGAGGCTCAAGCTTTACAACAAGGTTCCTCCTAATGGGCTGGTGCTGTACACGGGAACAATTGTAACTGATGATGGGAAGGAAAAAAAGGTCACAATTGATTTTGAGCCTTTCAGGCCAATCAATGCGTCTCTTTACCTCTGTGACAACAAGTTTCATATTGAAGCTCTGAATGAACTCTTAGAATCTGATGACAAATTTGGTTTCATTGTCATGGATGGTAATGGGACACTTTTTGGGACATTAAGTGGCAACACTAGGGAAGTGCTTCATAAATTTAGTGTGGACCTCCCAAAGAAACACGGAAGAGGAGGGCAGTCAGCTCTACGTTTTGCTCGTCTTCGAATGGAGAAGCGCCACAACTATGTTAGGAAGACAGCAGAGCTTGCCACACAGTTCTATATTAATCCTGCCACCAGCCAGCCCAATGTTTCAGGATTAATATTGGCTGGGTCAGCTGACTTCAAGACTGAGCTTAGTCAGTCAGATATGTTTGATCCCCGTCTGCAAGCCAAAATACTGAATGTGGTGGATGTTTCTTATGGAGGGGAGAATGGTTTCAACCAGGCTATTGAGCTGTCATCCGAGATCCTGTCCAACGTTAAGTTTATACAGGAAAAGCGCTTGATAGGCAAATACTTTGAGGAGATTAGCCAGGACACAGGAAAGTATGTTTTTGGTGTGGATGACACACTAAAAGCTCTGGAGATGGGTGCTGTTGAAATTCTTATTGTGTGGGAAAGTTTGGACATCAATAGGTATGTGCTAAAAAATACCACTACTGGTGAGATTATAGTTAAACATTTCAACAAGGACCAGGAAAACAATCAGAGCAACTTCCGGGATTCTGCCAACGCTGAATTAGAGGTTCAGGACAAGATGGCACTGTTGGAGTGGTTTGCTAATGAATACAGGCGGTTTGGTTGTACTCTTGAGTTTGTCACCAACAAATCACAGGAGGGGTCACAGTTCTGCCGTGGTTTTGGTGGCATTGGAGGAATTCTTCGCTACCAGCTTGATATGAGGTCATTCGACGAGTTTTCTGATGATGGAGAAGTTTATGATGACTCTGAATAGCAATCAATCAACTCTTCCCCAATACTGGTGCAGGAAGGTGGGGTGCGAAAAGCCTGCACCAGTGCGCTCGGAGTCGTCGTTGCTGCCGCTGCTCCTGAGCAATGCTCACGAAATTTCGCAGGCTTGATCCAGGTTTCTATTTCCTCTTTTCATCTTTTAACGTTATATTCTTTTACCATAACCAGTCCCCTTATCATCTTTTATCTCTTGAAGGACATTACATTGTTATCTGATCCTGAAAAGCTTGATCCGGTGATTTCATCTGGATCGGAAAATAGGCTGGGCATATCGATCAACCAGAATGAGGACATGATGCTAAGAGCTGCTTCCGTTGGATCGAGACCTTGCGAACTTATGCACCCATGTTATGAGAACCCCATGAACGATTCTGGTCTTTGGAGTAGTGCTTTTGGTTAAGTTAGTTGTTATTGGTGGTTTTCTTATGACTTCCAGTTGTGTCATGTCAAAACAATTTACTAGTAGCATTGTGGCTCATCAGTGAGATGTAGCCGGGCTGAATAATCATGTTTTAACTAGTACTACGTTATCTACTTGTGGTCATCTTCTGAAGTATTCTGTTCTAGGGTTGTTGTCATATAAACCCTTTTTTCTTTGTGCTATGAACCCCTTTTGGAGCTTTTATATGCAATGTATGTATGGATTGAATATTTGCATAAATTTGGATTTGCCATCAATCCCTCTGGGACAATTTATCCACGGTCAATATAGATGAAGGGGATTCAAATTGTTGAAGTAATTTTTGTTCAGTGGATGCATTTTTGGTTCGGTAGCTGCCAAAATTGAGTTAATACATAATGCAATTGGATGGTACCACGTGGCCATGGAAATTTGCCAAGCGGACTTGAAGGAAGGTTTCATTATGCTATCTCACAGCTAGTTGGGTGATTGTAACTTGATTAATCTATACTTCTATGCAAGGATTAAAATATCAATAATATGGACGACATGTTGTCGATATTATCATTTTTTCGAGTCTAGGATATTTCGGAACATATTCACACATATTGTATGATTATTGATAATATCAGAAAATATTGATGTCAATAATTTCTTACATGTTTCAACAAGATTTGGCTAAAATATCATGATAATATTGTTATAATGTCGATAATATTGATATGATGAAGACGGTGAAAATTTTGAAGAGTTATTTACACTAACATTTCCTAAGGTTTCTTGTGTTTTCACAAAACCCATTTTCGTTGATTGTTTGTTCAAAAGTTGATGATTTTATTGGGAAAAAACTTATGCAAATCAACAAATGACAAAATTAACCTCAATGAAGTATGTGCAATATAATCTCAAAGCCAACTTGATCATTTGGAGATTCTTTTTAAATAAAATCATCAATCTTTGGATGAAAAATCAATGAAAATGAGTTTTGTGAACAAAGCCAAAAACCTTAGGGGGTGTTAGTGTAAATAACTCAAATTTGAACTTCACAGGAACTCTATTTGGTACTAAGTCACTCGTGTATCTTACTATGCAATGTATAAAGTGCAAAATATTGTAGTAAATAATTACAAATAAATGATTATGGTGAGTTTAATCTTCTTTTATTAATTACTACATATACACTCGTAGTGTTTGTCAACTCGTTATATAATCAACTTAAATAAGTTAACATCATGAAATGCATTTCCTTTCAATTTTTTGTAATGAAGTAATAGATAATTGACTAAATAAAACATCATCCAATGTTTCAATAAAGATTTTCAATTTTTTTAATTTACAATTTTCATGGTTTTTATTCAATTTTTATCGATATCGATAATTTCCCAATATTTTCATCTAAATTTTTGTATTTTTGGACCACTTATATTTCCAAAACCATCTATATTTTAGACCTTGCTTCTACGTCACTTTTCTTACTTTAATGTTAATATATTGCCTTTTGTTTTCCAAGTTCCCTATCTTCTCCTATTTTTAAGAATAATATATTTTGGTTATCTTCCCTTTATATTGCATTCACCTTTTTTTTTTCTCGATAAAAGTTTAAAAACATTGAAAGAAGAAATAAAATAAAATAAATAAATAAAAGATTTTCCTACAGTTTGTTCTCTGAGCGGTTGTGGCTATTAAATTGACAAGTTCATCATTCTCTATTAAGTTATAAATTAATCACAATTCATTGAAGTATATTATGAGTTTTCACTCAGATGTACTCGCCAAACAAATAGATTATCTTATGAGTTTGTGTGATGTGAGCAACATCATTACTAATACTTTTTTGGCATGTTTACTAATCCGTAATTGGATTAGGAGGAATTGAATTGAGGAGAACTAGATTCCAGATTCCTATTGAAGTTATTTACTAAATCATATGGATTGAGATGAGTAAGATTCCAGATTCCTATTGAAGTTGTTTACTAAATCATATGGAATTGAGATAGGAGTGATAATAATTACTAAAATGTCATCGTTATTAGGTTAAAGTAGATGAAAATTTTAGAATTTTTAAAATTTTGTGACGATATAATTGGTAAAAAAAAAAAATGAATTCCTAATGGGTTAGTTCCCCAAGAATTAGAATACCACCTCCCACTCAAGAATTGAATTCCTTCAAAATCAATAATTCAATTCCTAATTTTGTGTGGGTCCTACTTAATTTTTAATTCCTTGATGTGAAGTAAATGCAGGAATCCTCCACATGTAGAATTTATTTCTTGATGAGAATTCAAATTCCTGATTAGTAAACACCATTTCATTTCATTTTTATTTTATTTTATTTTCTCAGAAAAGAAGAACCAAAGAAGAAGCCCACAAGAAAATAGACCCAACAAAAACCACAAGCCCACAAAAATGACACAACAAAACAACCCGGGTTAGGTCTAGAGTTCATCACGGTTACGATGTTTAGGCTATAAAAGGGGCCTTCATTTTCATTCGATAACAATCAATCCCGCAGCCGCCGTCTAATGGCTGAACTTGAAGGGGACATCTTCTCCAAACACCCTTTGTTTGGTTGATTTCTCTGTTCGTTGATATTCTTCGTGGCTTGCCTTTTCTTTTCAGCCATTCTTTCGTTTCCTTTTCCCCTATGCGAACAAATTCTGACATGTATGTGCATATATATTTGATTCAATGTGTTTTTTTGATACCCTTTCGTTTTCATTCATTCTTTTCATTTTGTGCATCACGTTTGAGTTGAAAAAGTTGATTGACCAAAGAAAATGTTTTACTGGAAGTTTGAAAAAGAGTGTCTTTGATTTGATGCAGCTCCCAATGATTGAACGCCAAATATATATAAGTTTCAGCCTTGTCTAAATCAATGTCATGTTGAAGATTTTACAAGTTCTGAGGGAGCTCTCTATTATTTTACTTCACTTTTTGCACTTGTGATCTTTTGCCACTCAAAACAACGGTGGGAAGAAATCATCTAATTTTTAATCTTTGTGGTTATGTTTGCCATAAGTGCATAATTCGAAGGAGACCCATCATTTTCCTTTGCCATTTGGTAAGTCTGCAGGCCCAGATGCAGTCTCTTTACCAGGCTCCACATTCCTGCCCTAACACCCATCTTCACAACCTCCCTCGGGAGCCCTATGTCTTCATGATGAAACAGAAGCACTTCTGATGCCACTTTATGCTGCTCTCCATTCCTAGGCTTCACTGAAATAGTTGTTTCTGTATCTGTCTGTCACTCAAAAAAGAGATTTCTACTGGGTAAACAGAAATATACCAAAATCTAAAATACGTACCTGATTTTATATGCCAACTCGAATAATAATTATCTACCCGTCTTGGTCTCTTAGACCTTGGTAGGGGTGGATATGGTGTTCCCTTGTATATAAGAAAACATATAATCAGCAGATGGCATTTTGTCACAGGACAGGACCTATGGAAAGAGAGCTTGAAATATTTGAGACAAAATCAAACCTTTGTTAGGCAGTAATATCCAGAATCAGATTCCCAAATGCGACGGGTTATGACATATTCTCGATCACTGCAGAACAATGGCAGCTGTGGCATTTAGGGAGAAAAACCCTAATTGCAATTAAAAAAATCTGGGTTGGAAGAAAAACACAATAGTTCTAGCCAATTCTGTGTAAAATCAGATGTGGTTGTACCTTTCTAATCCAGTGGATAGTCATGGAACCAGTTTTGGGGCAAACTTTGAGAGTTTGGAAGTGAATGAGCGTGTTATCCCACTGGGGTCTAAATTCATCATCCCAGAAGAAGTTCCTCAGCAACTCAGGTGATACATTTTCGAATACGGTTCTTGTACGGTACTGCGTAGGGCCCAACTGAAATTTGAAAACAATGTTACAAAGAAAAGACACATTCGTGGTGAATAATGGACATGATAATTGGGTTTATATTACCGGTGGATCCCTGTACCAAGCTTGGTATGTCAAGGTAGGGGTAGAGCGCTCCATCATGAGCTTCCATGGCGGACCGCCATCGGTCTCGTGGATGTGAGAAACCAATACCTTCACATCATCCTCGTTCAATTCAGAACATTCTTGTTCGTGATGTGGGTCAGTGCAGCACTGGCCACTGAAGGTGGTGGCTGTGAGCCAAGGACGGCTGACAGACTCGGATGATATCTCTCTGCGCCTGTGGCTTCTGAAGGAAAGAGGGGGAAATGTTAGGCGCCATGAACATAAGGTCCGTGACCAAGACCATCCCTTTAGAAGACTCAAGCACACAACTGGCATCCATGCTGCAACAAGACATAGTAGAGCCAATGCCAATTGGGCAATCATAATTACAGTTATAAGATGAAAGGGCAGCAACAGCTTTATTTGTTTACATATTTTTGTTTGGCTGCTCTGGTTTTTGCATCTTATTCTCCACAAGACCACACAATGTGGCACTGGAGCAAAGAATTTCCTGTTTTCACTTCTTTCCAAGACAGCTTGATGAAGAAACAACTGACCAGGGAAACAAAAAGGGATCATTGCAAGAGGAAATGACTTGAAATGTAAGTGACGAATATAATATGGGCAGCACTAGGTTGAACATGTATTATCTTCCCCCATCACCCAAGGATGGCACCCTAATTTAAGATATTTATTCCATTGTTATCATAATACGATATCTGTAGGAGTTCAATTTAAGAGCAACAGCAAACCCCTCCAAGTAAAGAATATGAAGACACACCAAACCAAGAAAATCAACCCTTTTCCTTCCTTCTTAATCTGATCAAGCTTTTATTTTATATCAATAGGAAAAAGGTTTTTGGATCTAAACGGAAAAAGGCCAATGTTTACCCAGTTGATGATGTTTTTAATTTTTCTGTTTGTATTTTGATAATTAAAGAAAATATGAGATAAGAGAAAAACGAATATATAACATTAAACAGTTTATAATTAAATATAATGGCCCAAACAGGACTAAAAATGGTGCAATCTACTTGAATCTCGGAGTAAAACTTGTATCATAGAATACATAGATATGAATCAAACACTCGGGCTCCCACTCTCCTCCCAGACAAATGTTAGAAAGGGAGAAACTTGCATTAGTTGACTACGGCAAAAGAGTTGTTCTCATGTCTAAAAGGCAGAAGTTCCTGATATATCGAACACAGTTCCAGAAATAGCAGCATTTCCCAATCATAAAGTGCACCAGTCACCACCAACGGATTCGAATAGGACAAGCTTTATGCTACCGGAATATGAACCAATTCTACTCCTGCAAGGGAGAAGAAAAAA